CCCCCCCCCCCCCCGCTGTGCTGGGGAGGGACTCACGGCTATGCAGGTCCCCGTCTGGGCAGACTTGCTGGTGGACTGCACCACGAGGGCTTGGAGTTTCTTCAACTGCTCCAGGAGAGACCTGGGAGGAAGGAGAGGCCTCGGGTCTCAATGCACAGCCCAGGCTGGCCTTGAACTCACAGTGATCCTCAGGCCTCAGCCTCCTGAGTGCTGGGGTGACAGGCGTGTGTCACCACACCTGGCCAAAGTTTCCCATCGTAATTGAGGTCAGAGCTCACGTCCTCCCTGCAACCCACAGGGCCCTGCACAGCCCACCCGTCCCCTCCTCGACTCCACTTCCTCCATTTGCAGCAGTCAAGTCAGGCTCTGCTGCTGCGGGGCCTTTGCACGTCTGTGCTGCTATGCTAAAGACCCTGCTCCCCCAGCTGCTTCTGCAGCTGGTTTCTTCTCATCCTTTGAGCCATCCTTCTGCAAAAATGTCACCTCAGCGAAGCTGCCGGACCTCCCTGTCTAAAGTCGCCCCTCTTCGCTAACACCTGGCCTCCCTTGGCTTTTCTCCCAAGTGGGACTCTCATTTAGGATTTTGTTCATGGTGAGCACAGCGCTCTGTGGACCATGCATCCTTTCCGTGGAGAGACTATTTCTGCTGCTTAGTTCCCTGTTGCGGTCCCAGTGCCCAGAACTGTGCCGAGTACACAGCAGAGGCTAAATGAGCATGGACTAAGCAGGTGCACCTCCTCGGTCAGGGTGACAGAATAGGGTGCAGCCTCCAACACTCCTCACTGCCAGCCTCTGGCTGCTGCATACACTATTTCTGCCACCTTCTCTCTAGTAAACTCTTATACACCCGTCAAAGCCCCAAGTCTAAATTCCCACCTCTCTGCGGCCTTCTTCCTTTAGAGGTGGACCCTTTATTCTCTCCTCTTTCCTGCCACCTCACAGACCCTCCCTCTACCCTTCACCCCACTCTCTTGCAGGGCACTTGGGCTCTTCCCCCTGCCCTGTCCTTGCCCCCAGCTGTACATAGACTCACAGATTCTGCTTCTCCAAATGCAAGACCTTCCTCTGCAGCTCCTGGTTCTGGGCAGTGCAGGCTGACATCCTGCAGGTACAGTGACATTCAGAATGTGCCTGTCACCCACTGGTCCCGCTGATGTGTCCCCGAGAGGCCCACTTTACACCCAGAGCACCCAAGGGCAGAGACAGGAAGTCATTTGGCAAAAGCCACCCAGCAAGGCTTTGACAGGGCCAGGATTTTTTTTAAGACTGAGTCTCATGGTGTTGTTACCCAGGCTGGCCCCAAACTCCTGGACTCAAGCAATCCTCCTGCCTCAGCCTCCTGAGTAGCTAGGGTGACAGGTACGTGGCTGTTTAGGGTCAGGATTTAAAGCCAGGTCTGTTGGTTTCTAGGTGCCACCTCTGCACTGGGGGGAAGGACCATCAAGGCGGAACCCCAGGATTGGGAATGGGTCCTAAACTCACAGCAATGCTTCCGGAAGACAGGCTCAAAGGAGACTGTATTCCAGCTCACCCTCCCTGGGACTTTGGGCCACTTCTATTTTTGATCTCAGTCCCCTCATCTATAAAATGGGGGCACAGCCAGGCGTGGTGGCACACACCTATAATCCCAGCACCAGGGAGGCTGAGGCAGGAGGGTCTCAGATTTGAGCCCAGCCTGGGCAACTTAGCAACTTATCAAGACCCTGTCTCAAATAATGAAAAGGGCTGGGGGTATAGCTCAGTGGTAGAGTGCTTGCCTAGCACATGCAAGGGTCTAGGTTCAAACCATAGTTTTATATATACATATATGAAACAAAAGAGATTAATGGATTTTTAAAAATACAGTTGGGTGGGAGGAAAAGACAGAAATTCATTATTTAGTAAGAATAATAATAATAAAAAAAGAATAATAAAATATACAAACCCCTGCCAAGCCTGATCAAAAAGTACAAGACAAAGAGAGAGAAGCACAAATCAACAGTATGAGGAATTTAAAAGGAATAACTGTAGGCGTTGCATAGATTAAAAATAATAGGAGATAACTAAGAATAATTTCACATGAATGAATTTGAACGGAAAACTTCCCCCAACTAACTCAGGAAGACAGAAAACCCAATAGACCTGCACCACTCAGTAAAGTTATTCTAGGGTTAAAATGAGTGTTTCCTTCTTCTTCATTTTCTTTTTTCTCAGTCCTGGGAATTGAACCCAGGGCCTTCACACTGAGCTACATCCCCAGCCCTTTTTTTGTTTTTCATGTTAATTCAGGGTCTCACTAAATTCCCCAGGCTGAGCTCCAACCTGGGATCCTCCTCCCTCAGCCTCCCAGACTTCCGGGAGAACAGATGTGTAGCACCAGCCCAGCTGGCACCACATCTTTATCCAGGCCATAAAGTGTCCCTGAAACCCTGTCTAGACATCTCGGCTTCCCTGAGATCAGTATGAAAACTGGTCTCTTCTAGAGAAGAAAGGTAAGGCCCTAAAACCTGCGGCCTTAGCCACACACATTCCTCTTTCTGGGCCTCCGTTTCCCCTTGAGTGTGAAGTCCGGGCTCCCACCATTACCGAGTTTCCAGGCCATCAATGTATTCCTTTTTCTTTTTCCTGCTTTCCTGGGCCGACTGTTTGTTGCGGATTTTCCGGCGGATCTTTTTCAGCATGCGCTCCTCATACTGCAGAGTGAAATAGGGTGGAAGCAGAGTCAAGGACTCTAGGTGTCCCTAGTCCTTTTTTTTTTGGTACCAGGGATCGAACTCGGGTCCTTGCGCTTGCGCAGCAGGCAGCGAAACCACTGAGTTAAATCCCCAGCCTTTATTTTTTATTTTAACATAGGGTCTCGTTAAGTTCCCCAAGCTGTGTTCAAACTTGCATCCTCCTGCCTCAGCCTCCCCGAGTGCTGGGATGACAGGCTTGCAGGGGTTGGGGGTGGGGTGGGGCTCCACAATCATATAAAATTAGTAATTGCCAACCACTTTGGCCTTGGCGCCGCGGCGCCACCATGTGGTCATCTCTAGGATTGGTACCTTTCCGTAGGCACCCCATTAGGGCTCATTACGGTCTTCAAACACAGTAGCAAAAACAGCGGCTTTGGCAGCCCATAATCCTGTAATCTCAGCACTCGGGAGGCTAAGGCACGAGGATTGCCACGTGTTCAAGGCCAGCCTGGGATACATAATGAGTTTAAGGCCAGTCTGGGCTACATAACAAGATCCTGTCTAAAAACAATAAATAGGGCTGAGGATTTAGCCCAGTGGTTTCGCCGCCTGCTGCGCAAGCACAAGGACCCGAGTTCAATCCCCGGTACCAAAAAATAAAAAAAGAAAGAAAGAAAGAAATCATAAAGAAAAAAAAACCAGACTCCCCAAATATAAAGACCCGATTCAAAAATGGGCATCTGAAATGAACAGACATTTCTCAGGCAAAGTAGTAAAAGCAGCAAATAAACATGAAAAAATGTTCAACATGGGCCAGAGATTTAGCTTAGTGGTTCAACCGCCTGCCTCAAAAGCGCAAGGTCCCGAGTTCAATCCCTGGCACCAAGAAAAAAAAAAGTTCAATATCACTGGTCATTTGAGAGATGCAGATGAAAACCATGCTGAGATTCCACCTCACCCCAGAAAGCATGGCTGCTATCATGAAATCAACCAATAACAAATGCTGGCCAGGTTGTGGGGAGAAAAGAATCCTTCTTCATTGTTGGTAGGAGTGCAGACTGGTGCAACCACTGTGGAAATCCGTATGGAGACACCTCAAAGAACTAGGATTGGAAGTCCCATTTGACCCAGGTATTCCTCTATTGGGTATCATCCCAAAAGAATTAAAAGAATCATACCACAGTGATATATACACACCCATGTTTATAGCCGCACAGTTTATAATAGCTAAAGTTTGGAAACAGCCCAATTGCCCATCAACTGGAGACTGGATAAAGAAGATGTAGT